TATATCAGTTGGACACGGGGCAATTGGACACAGTCCAATCACAAGTTGCTGTTCCAAGGGACCCTACAAATGTCTCTAATCACACGGTGCTGTGATTGGCTGTGTCCAAATGCACCGTGTCCAAGTGCACCGCTCCCTGAAAATTATATCAAGTAAATTCGGAAACGTAACGATAAAAGTAACTGTTACTTTCGTTACTCGTTACCAAAAAATGTAACGAAGTTACTTTTTTCGTTACAAACAAAATTTGTAACGCCGTTACCGTTACAGTTACAAAAAAAAGTAACTGTAACGGTAACGGCGTTACAAGTAACGCGTTACTTCCCAACCCTGGAAATATGGTAAACAGTACATGTATATGGTAAACAATACATCTATCTAATGAGATATTTTAAACCGTACATGATGAGTTAGGTTAGGGTTAGTTTTTTGGGGAAGAAATGGGGGATGCTCTCCCGTCTCCCTCCCGTGTATTGTGCACCATATTTCCATATACACTGTGTGCAAAAATTACGTTTCATTTATAAGACAAATTTTTTATTCTTTGGTTTTCTTGTACAGCTGCGTGCGTGCGTGCGTGCGTGCGTGCGTGCGTGCGTGCGTGCGTGCGTGCGTGCGTGCGTTATAACAATGGATTGTGAATGGACAAAAACAGATAGGTCGACCCTGGAGTTATTGTGGAAGTCGGCGAAGCAAAAATCGGGAAAAGAAAATATAACAGAAGTCGTATAGTTAAAGGGTAGTAGATCAGTGGGATAGAGCGAAAAAGCGATAATATGTTTATCATTCCTGTGCCCGATCAGCTGTAATCGATCAACAAGAACTCTTACACCTATAAAATGTGAATATATAGCGCCAGATTCTAAAATTTATTCAGATATTTGGAAGGCGTACAGTGGACTACAAAATGCAAACTACTCTCATTATACAGTAAATCACAAACAGAATTTCGTTGATCCTACTACAGGCACCCATACGCAAAATATAAAGAGGTTATGGCGTGAATGCAAGTAGCAATACCACGATATGGGACACGCACTTACACAGCAGGAATGTTGCAAATATATTATAAAAATATCTTGAAGATATTACATATCCCAAATATATCTTTAGGATATCCTTATGATATATTTTGGACACTTCTGCTGTGTGAGGCACGTATCATTACGACGGATACCTCGCGGAATTTGTTTTCAAAAGACAATCAAATTTTGGTAACCGCATTAATTCTTTTTTTAAAATAATGCGTGAAACATATCCAATAAAATAATTATGATTATAACTTGGGAAAAAAAGATTATATATAATTATATATGTGGGATGCGATATGATTTATGCATAGTTACTTTTAATGTTCGACAAGAACGAATGATTTGTGGGCATGCGCCAGGGCGTGGGACCCAAAGAATATAGGAGGTTGGCGGGCGTGAGTAGAGAGATAGTATGGAAAGGGGGTATAAAAAGGCAAACGTCGCTGATCATTCGACACTATTTTTGTATCCGAATTATCCTACAATTAAACGACCATCCTACAATTTGGGGGCTCGTCCAAGATATAGTGCGCGGATCAGCGAGGAAGCGACGAGAAGAAAGACGAAAGACGTAGAGAAAGACGACACCGAGAAAGACGAACGATGCTAAGAAACACGAACGACGCCGAGGAAGACGAACGACGCCAAGGAAGACGAACAACGCCGAAAGAGACGAACGAAACAGAGAAAGACGAAAGACGTAGAGAAGGGACAAAAGTGATTTTTTTTATACATCTCAGAAAAGTGCATCGATTCGAGATCATTCCGTAAGCATCGGAGGTGCGGTTGCAAGATTGGCGACGACATCGAAAATGTAACTGCGCGACTAGTGACGACATCGAACGGGTGATTACAAGATTAGAGACGACATCTGCGACGGCATTGGGCGTAGGATTGCAAGAGGGTATACCGACATCGAAACGGTAACATAGAGAACCTCGCACAAGTCGAAACTGTCAAACAGAAAATACGCACAGCGTCGACTGCTGCTACTACGGCGTTGCACAAATTTATTTTTGGAAAAGGTGACCGAAAAAATAGACAACGTCTTAGAGATTTTTCAGGGTTCATGTTCCGAAAGGATACACCTGAATACGTGAGTAAATTGGAATTCGGAGGAGGACTCACAATTGGTGATTTGATATCATGTTGCCATATTCTTGGTCTAGAATACGATGGTGCTAAAGAGGAAATAATTGTAAGACTTCTAGACGGATTAATGGACCTGAACATACTTGTACCGGTGCGTGATGAAGATGATACCGAAGGAGAAGACGACGAGGATAATGGTGAAGCTGACATAGCAGGAAGCGGTGAAGAAGAAGGTGAAAATGTGGAAAGACGTCCAGTTAGAGAAGGCGGTCAAGCACGCATGAAATTTGCAATGACGTACCGGGAGGTAAAAGATTCAATTAAAACCTTTAGTGGTAAATACGCATACCCAGTGGAAAGGTGGATATCTAATTTTGAAGATACGGCAGAATTATTTGATTGGACAGAGTTACAGAGGATGGTCTTTGCAAAAAAATCGTTGTCAGGACCAGCCAAGATACTTGTTGAAAGTGAAGGTGTCATCAAAACATGGAAGAAACTAAAGACAATCCTTCAAGACGAATTCGTAGTAAAAGTAAAGTACATAGCGCGCAAATCCACAACATGTTGGTTAAGAGAAAGTTGAGAAAAGAAGAAACACTTCAGGAATATTACTATGTAATGAAAGAGTTAGCGGCTCGAGGTAAAATTGAATCAGAAGCGCTCATTCAATATATAATTGATGGCATTACTAACGACATACAAAATAAATTAGTGCTCTATGGAACCAAGAAGCTAGCGGATTTTAAAGAGAAGCTGAGAGTGTATGAAACTATACGCAAGAAAAACGTGGAAAGAAGAAAGATGACTCGAGATAGCTATCACACGGAGAAAAAAATGGAAGGAACCAGGAAGACGACTACTGTAAAGAAGACCGAAAAGGAACAAGACGTCGAGACGCGATGTTACAATTGTGGAACAAAAGGACATAAATCTAAAGACTGTAAGAAAAGAGAATTAGGTAAAAAGTGCTTTAAATGTCAAAAATTCGGACATATGGCAAATCAATGTGACACGGCGGATGAGAGTAAGACAGATAGACGAATACCCGTAATTAATACGATCACGTTGCCAACGACAAGTAGAATGTCTAAACAAATAATGGTCAACGGAACGCATTTAAGCGCATTGATCGATACCAGTATACCAGATCACCGTGATGCGCGAAGATATTTACAATAAGGTTAGACCGAATAAGTTAGTGGGCGATATCATTTATTTGATGGGTTTCGGAAAAAACGAAGTACGTTCTTTAGGATGCTTTGAAACAGTTGTTAAGATAGAACAATTCTCAAGATAGAACAATTGTTAAGATAGTGAACAATTCTCTTGTACTATACACGTTGTTCCAAATGAGACTACGAACACAAATGTTATAATCGGTAGTGATATTTTAGCCACGTCGGACGTAACTATTAACTCGAACGGAATAACAATTAGTAAAGCGTCATCTACTAGGTTTCTAGCACAAATCGACGTTGCCGAGGAACCATCACCGGAAATTGGGAATCCTTCAATTTGTGAGGAGGTTAAAGCAGTTGTTAAGTCATATCAACCCAATAAGTGCAAGACAACTAAAGTGAGTATGCGTATCGTCCCAAAAGAGGAAAAACCAGTTATCAAAAACCGCGTCGGTTGCCTGCACCTGAACGTGAAATAGTTGAAAAACAAATCGCCGAATGGCTTAACCTTTAGACTGCCGGCATTTTTTCATTAAAATAGTGTATTTTTTTTCTCAAAAATTTTTCTATATAAATACTATACACATGGCGTAGAATTTTGAGATTTATGCAAAGCCACAAAAGTAGCTTTCCTGGCAGGGAACGTACGATCAAATATAAAAAATTTTTATTTTCTCAAAAATAGTATATTTAGGGGTTTTTGGTATCGCTGATTCCAATTCTGAGCATAGATTTATGAAATTTCGAGCCCTAAGCGCAATATTGACAACATAAATGAATAACGTATAGACGCAGATAACTTTCCTTTAGCATTACCCAGAGCTAATGACGTGGACATAGAAAGTTGTAGCTCCTTTTTAACTTTTTATTTGGTTTTTTTATTTAATTTTTTGTATTTTTTGTTACTTTTTTGCTTGTTTTATAATTTTTTACTTTTTTATATTTTTTAATTTTTTGTATATTTTAATTTATATTTATATTTATATTTTATTTATTTTTTTATACATTTTATGATTTTTATTTCTTTTTATTTCAACTTTTTGCACTAATTATGGCAAAATTTCTTTTGAATGATAATTTTCAAAGCAGGGTATTATGCATAATGGAGTATTACAATTAGTGCATGTGAAACGAGTTCGACATCTTTTTTTAGATAATGCACACAAAGCACATTGTTTCATCGATTTATCTTCGAAATGTTTCGGAAAATGTTTTCCTATTAGTCGAGAAGGACTTGGCTGAACAAATGATGAAACATTAGGATCAAGTTTTAGTAAAGCTCTCACTATTTCAAGTCGAAAAGCAGGGAAAGATATGTTTTCGTTATTTATTTTATATAATACATTTATATTATATTATATAATCACTTGTCAATGATAAGTCTAATAAATGAAAGAATAGCTTACGATACCACTTCATTGTCTTTCTAATACTTTCAGTCAAGGATAATTGCCTATCGATGTTATCAATACCACCCATATTTTTATTGTACTCGATAATACAAGTTGGTTTTATTATTTCCTTATTAGTAATATAATCTTTCTTTCCAGTAGGAGAAAAACCAACTTCATGAACACTCGTTAGCATATAGACATCTCTTTTATCTGCCCATTTCATAGCCATCCAGACAAGATTATGGCCAATCTCTATTTCTCCTCGGTTCAGCTTACTATTTAGATCTGGCATTTCTTTCCTATTTTTTCTTACGGTCCCACAAACTCCAGTATCATGCTCGTGTAAAAATTCTGCAAGCTGGGGGGATGAATACCAATTATCGATAAAAATAACATGACCCTTGGAGAAATATGGTTTTACGAAATGAACAACTATATCCCCAGAAATTCCTAATTCAAATTTTTCATAGTCAGTATCTTTTCCAGTATAAACAATAAAAGCTAATATAAATCCAGTTTTACAATCGACTAGTTCAAAAAGCTTTATACCGAATCTATTTCGTTTCAAAGGTATGAATTGCTTGAACTTTAGCTTTCCTTTCCATAAAAGCAGACTTTCATCAATACATAAGTTTCTTCCTGCATTTATCGTATTAGAAAATTTTTCATTCAGATCATCTATAATAGGTTTGATTTTTTTTAGTGGATGGTTTATGGTATCTTTATTATTTTGAAAATGTAGGTATCTCAAGATTTGTAAATACCTATTTCTAGACATTGTTTGTCTAAAAATTGAAGTCAATAGGATAGAATCAGTACTCCAATAATCTTGAATAGAACCCTTTCTAACGTGACCCATAAGAATAGTAAGATCAATGAACGTTTTTAGTTCCTCTACAGTCAAATCTACCCACGGCTGCATATGCAAACGATAAGACTCAGGATTCTGTGACTGATAACGATTTGTTTCTTGTGTAATTATTTCCAACATAGAAAGGTCAAAAAGAAGTTCAAAGTAATGTAATGGCTTGAAACCTGTGAGAGGAATATCTTCACGAATACTAGATTCACCGTCAAAATCTTTCACAGAGGGATAGAAATTATTATCATAAAATATTTTCGCATTTGACAGGTAATCGGTTTCTTCATCCACTTCCATATTATTTAGATCACTTGGAAGATCATCTGGATCTATCTCACTAGGCTCTGATTCGTCACTAGATCAAACGTCAAACTCGATGTTCATTTTATACAATTATAATTTTTATTATATAATTATACATTTATAATTTTTCGTATGGATTTCGCGAAATATCTATTTGGAGCGAAACACGAGGGAGTGATGCTATGCCGGAGGAGCGAGTGATAGTATTACGCGCGCGGCGAAGATAACAGAAGCCGCCGCACCGCGGCGCGAGAAGGTTACTATTTCGGCGACGCGAGAGCGAATAAGCACGAAGTGAGCACCGGGCAACGTAGTCACGCATTGCGTGAGCTACATACCCACACAAATACATTTAGTATTTAAAATACCACTGAAAATAGTGATATTTTAACCCAAACTCAAGAGCCACAAAAGTGGCTTTCCCGGCAGTCTAAAGGTTAACGAGGGTATAATAGAAGAATGCACTTCTGAGTACGCAAGTCCAGTAGTCGTGGTAAAAAAGAAAGATGGGTCACCGCGTGTGTGCATTGACTATAGGAAGTTAAATAGGGTTATAGAAAAGGATGGACACCCTCTACCCTTGATTGAAGATTTGTTAGACAAATTGGAAAACGCTCGCGTATTTACTACATTAGATTTAAGAAACGGATTCTTTCACGTATCAGTAGAGAAAGAAAGTCGGAAATACACATCATTTGTTACGCACTGCGATCAGTATCAGTTTTTAAAAGTTCCCTTCGGACTATGCAATTCGCCACGAGTATTTCAGAGATTTATAAACGCGGCTTTTTGGGATCTAATTAGACAACATGTAGTATTACTCTATATCGACGACTTAATCATACCGGCGGCAAACGAACAAGAAGCATTAGATCGGTTGCGAGTAGTATTCAAGATAGCTAATGACTACAGGTTGCAGATAAATTTCAAAAAGTGTCAATTCATAAAAAGGTCTATAGAATTTCTAGGTCACATAATCGAAGGAGGGAAGATCTATCCTTCACCGGGAAAAATTAAAGCAGTGATGGATTACCCAGAGCCGAAAGGGTTAAAAGATGTTCAAAGTTTCCTAGGTTTATCGGGTTACTTCAGAAAATTTATACCTTCGTATTCAGTAATCGCCAAACCCTTGACTGACATGCTACAGAAAGATCAACAATACGTTTTCGATGACGAAGCGAGAAACGCGTTTTTACGATTAAAAACAATTTTAACTAATAAACCGGTATTAAAGATATATTATCCCCAATGAAACAGAATTACATACGGACGCAAGCATAGACGGATACGGAGCGGTTTTGTTACAGCGAATACCTGATGATAATTTGATGCACCCAGTATATTATATGAGTAGAAAAACTAAAAAGGAAGAAAAGAATTATACTAGCTACGAGTTGGAAGTATTGGCAATAGTAGAAGCACTTAAGAAATTCCGGGTGTACTTGTTAGGAATACAATTTAAGATAGTTACGGATTGTGCAGCATTTCAACGTACTATGCGTAAGAAAGAATTAACTAATCGTATCGCTAGATGGGCCTTATCACTAAAAGATTTTGATTATAATATAGAACATAGGACAGGAAAGCGTATGAGGCATGTTGACGCCTTAAGCACACCCCATAATGACGATAGCGAAAAAGATAATTATTCCGCAAATTAAAAGTCAACAAGAAAAAGATGACAAGATCAAAGCACTGATGGAGATTGCAAGAGATAAATCTTACGACAATTATTATGTAAGCGGTGACTTACTCTATAAATTTCAGGACGGCCAAGATTTGCTTGTCATACCTAGAGCGTTGGAAACTGATATTATCCGGACGATACATGAAAAAGGACATATCCCTGTTAGACGAACAGAAGAATTGGTCCGTCAAGAATATTTTATACGTGGTTTAAAAGGTAAAGTTGAACAACTTATAGCCAGTTGTGTGCCGTGTATAATGACGAACCGTAAAGAAAGCAAACAGGAGGGGTACCTACATTCAATTCCAAAACCTGATACGCCATTACACACATATCATATTGATTTTTTAGGTCCTTTAGACACTACTAATAAGAATTGTAATCATATACTTGCTGTAATAGATAGTTTCACTAAATTCATTTGGTTGTATCCGACTAAAAGTACCACGACGCGCGAGGTTAAATTAGATTCGCAAAAACAAGTGTTCGGAAACCCGAAGCAAATCGTGACTGATAGGGGAACAGCCTTCACTTCCCAGGAATTTAGGGAATATTGTGAAACCGAGGATGTGAAACACTTAACGATTACTACCGGATTACCGAGAACGAATGGCCAAATAGAACGATTAAATAGAACAATCATACCTATACTTTCCAAGTTGTCGATTGAGGATCCTACTAAATGGTTTAAGCATGTTGGAAGATTACAACGAATCTTAAATTCAACATATCATCAGAGCATACATTCCACTCCCTTTAATTTACTATTTGGCGTAAAGATGCTTGATGAAACTGATTTAAAGTTACGAGAAATGGTAGAACAGGAACTTCAATCACAATTTGAGGAAGAGCGTAATCACCTTAGAGCTCGAGCTAAGGAGCAAATCCAAAAAATGCAATCCGAAAATTGTAAAACGTATAACCTTAAACGTAAGGCGGCAAGGAAATATGACGTCGGAGAACTAGTAGTAATAAAGCGCACTCAGATGGGTCCAGGGAGAAAGCTGCGAGCAAAATATTTGGGGCCGAATTGAAAAAGCTAAACCCAATGATACCTATGATGTTGTCAAAGTAGGAGAACACGAAGGACCCACTCGCACTTCTACATGTGCCGAATATATTAAACCGTGGAATATCGTTAGCCATAAGTGACTATATTTTTAAGTTTACATTATTTCTAAGAAACAGATATGTACTAAGTATTAGTAAGCGCGTTAGACTTTGTGATATCAAACAGATTAAAGTTAGGTTTAGTTTTTAAAATAGAAATGTTGTTCAAATGCGTCATGCAAGGCGCATGATTGTTCAGAATGGCCGAATGTGGGATGCGATATGATTTATGCATAGTTACTTTTAATGTTCGGGCAAGAACGAATGATTTGTAGACATGCGCCAGGGCGTGGGACCCAAAGAATATAGGAGGTTGGCGGGCGTGAGTAGAGAGATAGTATGGAAAGGGGATAGAAAAAGGCAAACGTCGCTGATCGTTCGACACTATTTTTGTATCCGAATTATCCTACAATTAAACGACCATCCTACATATATAAATATATATGATTATATATGAATTTTGTCCATATATGTGATCTTATATATGATCATATCTAATTATCCCAGCAAACACAGAACATAACTATGATATAACACAGGAGTAACATGTAATATAACTGCTGTTATACATTATTAATATTGAAGTTATTTAATTTCCTTTATAACTGCGATATAACTATATTATAAAACTGTTATGTTATTATGTTATTTACTGGTTAAGTTACATCAACAATATAACAGCAACATAACTTTAACATAACATGTTATATAAGAAGTCTAATGTTTGCATTACATTTTAGTTGTACAATATTTTTATACATAAATGTGAAATTATATTTTAGGTGTTTCTCGTATATAAAATGTGATATTTTAATATATGCAAAGATCGTTATCACGATATTGTAAAATTAAAGTTCTTACAAAGAGTCTACCCAACAAACACAGATATATGACAGTTACATTGCCGTAATGAAACGGAATGTAACATGCAATATAACTTGTATATAGTAGGTTATATAGACGTTCGTTGTAATTTCCTACTCACACGTGTTACAATTATATAACGTGAATATAACATAAAAGTAACATGTGACTAACAAGTTATATGAGTTATATGTTATTTGTTAGCACATTACACATATTGCATATTGCATTACACATATGCATTACATATATTTTTTTGTTGAATTCCAACGATTTATTCATTAATATGGTTTAGATAAGTGATAATGTATGATTATTTTGTCTAAATAATAAAAAAAAAACTGACATTTCATATTCCGTATTATTTCAATTATTCGTGAAACTCACGTGGATTCGATCCTATGTCAGGTCACCCATTTTTAGATCATGTTGTTCAATGCTTAACTTCAACAATCGTCCGGGAACTGGTGATACCGATGCGCCGTAACGATATCTTAATAGATAATATTTACAATATATTCTTATATCGTTCAAAAAATTTTATGACATATTTGTTGGTAAATGTTTGACACAACAATCACAATGCGATTAATATTGATACAATGTTGTATCAGCAATCAAATTTTAACCTACAACGTGCTCGCAAAAGAGAAAGAATATTCCTTCTTTCTCTCTCACAATACTTTGACAGAGTAAGATTATGATTAGACTCTTTTTTGTAAGAACTTTAGTTTTACAATATCGTGATAACAATCCTTGCATATATTAAAATATCACATTTTATATACGAGAAATACCTAAAATATAATTTCATATTTGTGTATAAAAATATTGCACAACTGAAATGTAATGCAAACATTAGACTTCTTATATAACATATTATATTAAAGTTATGTTGCTGTTATATTGTTGATGCAACTTAACCAGTAAATAACATAATAACATAACAATTTTATAACATAATTATATCGCAGTTATAAAGGAAATTAAGTAACCTCAATATTAATAACGTATAACAGCAATTATATTACATATTACTCCTGTGTTATATCACAGTTATGTTCTGTGTTTGCTGGGTAATCATAACCTTACTCTGTCAAAGTATTGTGAGAGAGAAAGAAGGAATATTCTCTCTCTTTTGCGAGTTGTAGGTTAAAATTTGATTACTGATACAACATTGTATCAATATTAATCATATTGTGATTGTCGTGTCAAACATTTACCAACAAATATGTCATAACATTTTTTGAACGATATAAAAGTATATTGTAAATATTATCTATCAAGAGAGAGATATCGTTACGGCGCATCGGCATCACAAGTTTCCAAGATCGTTGAAGTTAAACATTGAACAACATGATCTAAAAATGGGTGACCGCCTGACATAGGATCGAAACCACGCGAGTTTCACGAATAATTGAAATAATACGGAATACGAAATATCAGTTTTTTTTTTTATTATTTAGACAAAATAATCATACATTATCACTTATTTGAACCATACTAATGAATAAATCGTTGGAATTCAATAAAAAAACATATGTCTTTGCTGGAACATTACTTAGTTATTTTGCAGTTATATAACATTAATTGATGTTCCTATATAACCATAATATAACATGATATATCACAATGTTACATCTTTGAGTGGGAAATAATAACATAACAGCAACATATCAGTAACTTTCATGCAATATTATCTGTTATAATCATTTCTACTGCAGTTATATAACATTGATATAACTGTGTTTGCTGGGTATATATGTTCATATATAAAACGAAAATTGTCAAATGAAAAAAGGAAAACATAATATAATTCGGTTCGGTTAAACGTCGATATCATGGGCTACCATAAACATAAGCATTTACTTCAATTGTATCTTCACAATAGTATTCTTTTCAATGTCGACATTATAATTATATATGGTCATATATGTATAACCATATATGGACAAAATTCATATATAAACTTTTTTTTCCTGGGAACCTATGTCATTAATTCTTCCTAAACCTATATTAGTATGTACAGTGTCGAAAAACTACCAAATATTAATATAAATTTTTTTATTAATAACTTTTTAACATACAATGAGCGACGGTTAAAACCTTTTGAATATTACTCAGAATGATTACCTTGACAACATATATAAAGGTCATCGTCTTCGGAAGGTCGTCCGTTTTGGTCAATAATTATCAAATTTTGTTACTTGCCTTGACGAAGTCGGTGGAAAATAAACGGGCGCCTTGAGTCACAGTTTGATAAGAAGCAGGTATGGGAGTCGGTACGGCCATCGTTGATGCTATTATGCAAAGTACCAAAAGACCTCGTTGTACTGCAATAATCAAGGAGAAACTAATTTTTTAATGGCAACCTTATAATAATTCAATATTTCTTAGTTTTAATATCAGTATGTTATAACAAATTTAAGTATCTTTACGTACAATCCACCTGACAAGGAAATGAAAGGTAATGTTTTCTTTCATTACTTTAACATGATAACATATAGTTTCATTAAAATATATCGTAACAACCATTACCGCGCTCTCAGTATTCCAATATCACCGCCGAAAATTAAGTACTTATGAGCAAAAGTTGTGCATACAAAACGAAATAAACGAAAGCATTGCACAAGCTATTCAAGATGAACACGAAGTAACGCGCGTACGAATTGTACATATTTGATATTACAACACACGAATTATAGAAATCGTCGTATGAAAATTAGACGGTTTGAAGGGCGAATAATAACGTTACGCATTTATACTTGAATCTCTTGAGAATTTGAATTACTTGTGCTATTTAATTCAAAATGACGATTTTGACATGATGTTCAAATAATATAAAAAATTTTCGTCTTTTGCCACTTGCGAATTTAAAACTTATTGTGTTCAGCACACAGTGCAGTTATTTAATTTTATAACTAGAAGTTAACATCTGCAATGTTCATAAATATTGGTTAAATGATTTTGAATGATCCGTGACATTAATTATTATTAATAAAGTATATATTTTAGAGCAACATAAAAAAATATTAATAAAAGCTTTAGGAATAAGGTGAAAATTATAAAAACTCTTCCAAATTGTAAAATAACTTATTGTCCGTATATTTTATTTGTAAATTTAACACGTTCACTATCCATAACTTATTTGAAGAATTCTCTCCACAAACCAAATTACATTTGTTTTCATGTAATTATGTAAAATAGACTTGGTTTGTTTATATATGGATATACAAAGAAAAATGTTGTCATACAAGTGTGACGCTGATAGAAAATATGTTAACTGATTGGCGGTATAATAAAAATTTACAATTCTACGAAAAGAACGTTTGCTGTACAAATGATGTCGCAATTATTTCTTCATAATTATATGAACATTGTTTGACCAGCCTACGCATGTGCAAACCCAAGGCCGATGACTCAAATTAAACATCATTATTTATTTCCAGTTCCACTTAGTCATGCGACGCAAATACGTTCTCGATAAGTCGAACACTCTGTTTACGTTCTGTTCACGCTCTGTTAAAGACAGAATTTCCTGATCGCGCTACTCAAAATTTCGCTAACAAGCCGAAAATATAAAGAAAAATGACTTGAGTAAAGTCTATGTTTCATAACGTCGCTGCGATGAATCTCAAGGAGGTTTAACTAAGGGTCAATTACGACCAAAATTAAGACAATCAAACCTTAAGACAATCAAAGATAACGCAATAAATAACTGTATGAAATAAGCGAAATAGCGAAACATAGAGGAAAATAGCTAAAAGCGACATAGGCCTCCTAAAGCGACATTCCTCTATATCTCATATATTACATGTTGTATTCTATCCAAACTAATATAAATGTAATTCATTTTATCAGTTAAGTCATGAAAAATTCATACTTGGTATATCTCTTGTTCTTTTATATGCTAAATTAGCAAATATCGAATTTTAGAAAATCGTGTTTTATTTCTATGATTTTTATTGACAAATTACATAGACTAAACAGCGGTAATTATCCTTTTGTTTAATATTAAGTTTTTCTACATGCATTTAAAAATAAATTTGTAAAAATATTTTTTTAATATTTTTATCTTTATCACTTTTTTACTGTATAACTTGAAAAATTTTATGAGAGTTTATGTGTCTTAAAGTGACATACCCTCCTACAGTATGCGATATTCTGTGACTAACATAACCTGATTCTAACGTGACGTGACATGTCGTATTCTATATGTTTAATTTTGTTTAGTTTAAAAATATAACATATAAAAATGTAACATACGTAAGAAATGAAAAAGATGGAAATGCCAAAGATATGTTTTTATGTAATTATATTTCCCTTTTGTAACATTATATTTTAAATAAATGAATATTATTCAACTATTAAACGCATTAATAAACTATTTATTATCAAATGTTATCATATATGCAAAATGTTTTATAACTTCCAATAGGTATGTCGCTTTTGGCACCTATTTTCTTTGAACTTCATTTTCGTGCGTTTTACGAAAACATTTTTTGTTTTAAATCTAGACAAATTTCAGTTAAAATATGATATTATCTGATAGAGAGTACTTCCAACTACATGTATATATATTTACATTTATATTTTGAGTTTTACATTAAGACATAACCTCCAAAAACAAAGTATGTTGCTTTTGGTGTCTTTAATGAATATTGCTTCAGAACATATGCAATCTTTTATTCTATCAACCTTTATTCTATAAAATTAGAAATAGAATGTTTAACAATTACATATTGATATATAATTATATAATTACTAATTTATATAATTTATAATTATACATATGGCGGTAATAAAAACAATGACAAAGTATCCCATTATGCAAATTATTTCATCACACTATTTGATCACATAGATCCAATATCTGCTTTATCATATCTACTTTTTCAAATATTTATTTCGTTTTTTCTTAATATCGATAGTAACACCAATCGCCTTTCGGACGAATTAGTATGAATTTCATTCAAATTTACTTTCAAAAATTTTACACAGAATTTACTTTCAATATTCCCTCAATATTATATATTATATATAAAAAGCACATGAAAAGTAAAACAAAAAGGCCGTCAAGATAAATCCGGAAAGACACTATGTAAATAAAACACGACTAAAATACAGGAAAAGCATCAATTTATTCGTATAATTTAGTACAGACTATCAACGAACATAAAAGAATGAAATTATGTAATATAGCCTCCATCAGTTTCCACGACCTTCTCGAGCCTGGATCTAAAGCGGCTGTAGGCATACTTGACCTCCTTCTTGTCCAAATGTGTCATCACTTTCATAATGGAGGACTTCAGAGCATCTTTGGTGTTGTGATGCTTTGCATTGATTTTTGCCTCGACCACGCCCCATACCTAATAGTCAAAGAAGTTGCAATCGGGATTAGAGGGAGGCTATAAGTCGGGGGACCAGCGGTAGGGCAAATTATTGTAAAGCCATGCTTGAGTTTTCCTTGGTTTGTGAGCTGGTGCCGAATCCTACTGGAACACATATTGCCTTCCAACGATTATTTCATCCATTCAAGACTTTACGACCGTCTCTAGCACGTTGATGTAATCGTCAGCGTTCACCTTCAAACCCTCCTCGAAGAAATGAGGCACGATGACGTCATCAGATCGCTTTCTGTGTATTGCCCGGTCAGCAGTAACCTTCTCTTTGTTGTTGGACTCTCTAAACTTCTTGACTATGGCATAAACTTGCGTCTTTTTGTAGCCAAACCATGCAATTATTTTCGTAAGTGATTTGTCGGTGTGAAGCATTTCGAGCATCACCGTCCTCCGCTCATATTCTCAGCTTATTACTGGTTGTTAATTGTTCGGTGATTGTCTCTTGAATAACCTTGTCGTGACATGCTACAAACGCGATATGCATTCAAAATCGCTGACGTCGTCTATAAGTAAACAAGTTAGATTTCCGGATTTATCTCGACGGCCCTGTATACATATATATATATATATATATATATATATATATATATATATATATATATATATATATAT